ATGAGTATTAATATTCTCCATCTGTCTCCTGAATAAGAAAGGGAAAGAAGAGAAGAAAGAAATCAGATGCATTTCTGAGCCCTTGCTATGTGCCAGGAATCTGCTAAGTGCTTTAGGATGTATATTCTAGGAAAACGTATTTTAGCCTCATTTTATAAGTGAAAAAATATCAAAGTACAGAGAAGTTAAGTGACTTGCCAAATGTCACACGCACAGATAAAGTGATAAATGCTGATATGGCTGGTTGTGCACTTCTTCTGTATCCAAAAACATTCAGTAAACATGTGTTGGATATCTATACATGGAATGCTTGGTGCCTACATGGAAATTCGGAAAGGTTTGAGCTTGTCTGTGAATAAGAGGGATAGACAAATGAGTCACCAGTTGAAACCTGGCCTCATTTATGCCGTGCAAATGTACGCCTATGGTTCTGGAAGTGTCAAAAGTGAACCAGCTTAGCTTAAGTGGCACCCCTGCTAGGAAGCCAGTTTTCAACTTCACGTGTCTGCAGCTGAGCCATGACTGTAAGTGTTAACAAGGCAGAAGGAGGTCAGAAGGCTTTCTAGACACAGATGCAAGGACACGCAAAGACCTGCAGACTTCCCTTCTGTGAAATTCAGTTCAAGAAGGGAATTCTCTCAAATAGACCTAAAGGCAATATGAAGATATAAAGATACAGCCGCCCTGTTGCCTTTTCATATCATGAAAGGACCACATTTTTCCTCTCGTATTTATGGAGAGATTCTTTCTGACCAAAGGGAAAGAAGAGAAGGAGCTTTCCATAAAGGGCCAACCAGATGGATCAGATATATAGGAAATATGGACGCAGTGTAAAAGTGTTACCTATGTATTTATCGAGGAAACTTTTTTTCCCTCTATGCTCTGGTAAGCACAGACAGTTTACTGATAAAAAATGAGCAGCTGCCTTTCTGGAGCCCAGAGAAATCAGAGAAGCATTTATGTAAAGAGGTCCAGCCAACCATGATGAAGCAAGACTGGGACATGTGCACAGGGCAGGCTAGAAGCATCAAGCAAAGGTGCCCCACACTCTGTACTTATTACTAGCTAGACATACTTTAAGCCATTCTCTTTTTTGTATCCTCACCCAAGGATATTTTTCCATTGATTTTTAGGGAGAGTGGGAAGGGTGGGGAGGTGACACAGAGAGAGAAACATCGATGTGAGAGAGAGACACATCGATTGGTTGCCTCCTGCATGCACCTGCAACCAAGGTACATGCCCTTGACCGGAATTGAAGCTGGGACCCTTCAGTCCACAGGCTGATGCTCTAGCCATTAAACTAAACCGGCTAGGGCTTGAAGCCATTCTTGACATCTCACTCTGAAAATAAGATGAAGAGAACATTTTGCATTAAATTTTATGTTTATGCTGTTTTTCTTTGGTTTATCATTTTTAGCATTATTTAGGTAAAATTGGCAAATAGAATTATATTTAAAGTGTATAATGTGTACACTGTGAAAGGGTACTTTGAGTTATTACATCCATCACCTCACATGTTTAACTTTTTTGTGTGTGAGTGTGAATCCATAATTTCTACCCTCTTAGCAAACTACAACTATAAACACAGTATTAGCAACTGTAGTCACCCATTTTTAGCATTACTTAGGTAAAATTGGCAAATAGAATTATATTTAAAGTGTATAATGTGTACACTGTGAAAGGGTACTTTGAGTTATTACATCCATCACCTCACATGTTTAACTTTTTTGTGTGTGAGTGTGAATCCATAATTTCTACCCTCTTAGCAAACTACAACTATAAACACAGTATTAGCAACTGTAGTCACCATGTTATTATACATTAGATCCTCAGACCTTATTCATTTTAAAATGGAAAACTTGTGCCCTTTTACTTACCATCCTCTCCCCATTTCCCCCTTTCCCCAGCCCCTAGCAACCATCTATCTATCATCATCATCATCAAGTACAATATGTGGTCTTAAAATGTACAGAAAACCACCAAACTGCAGTTCCAACCAACATTTATAAATGGGCTAGAGAATGATACGTTGTTCAGTGTACCCATGAGCTTCTGTAAGGTGCCTGGTCAATGCTGGGACCATTAAAACCAGCACCTCTGCAGACATTTAGCATGGCTTGGTGTCCGCTTTTGAGAATTCACTAGTGCTACACATAAAAGCAGCAATAATTCTTTATAGCCTGGAGGTACTCCTAGACTGCAAGAACATGGGTGAGAGCACATTAGCAAATAAAAATAGTTGGAAACTCGGTGGTTTTAGCTTGAAAGCTTTATTTTGTTGTTGCAGTTGTTTTATTACGGATGGACAAGTATTCAAGCAGGGTACAGGAGCCGGTTAGGCCCAGCAGACGCTGGAGAAACAAAGGGCTCTGTGCTGTCCCCGCCTCATTTCCTTAATTAAGAGGGACAGCCCCTTGAAACAACAGCTGCTGCCCTTACATACATCAAAAGATCTTAAGAAGCTACTGCTTTTATTGATTTGGGGCCATGAGCACTTGAAACGATGCAACTGGGCTCAGAGTCATCATTTTGCCTCCCATGGACACTAAGCATAAGCCAAGCAGATAGGTTCACTTGCTAGTTTCAACACTGTGTTTCGGGGATGCCAGTCTTCTAGGAATAACTGGTGCTACTCATTGCAAGGAAGGAACTCTGAGCACGCAACATGGGAGGTGAACAGTGGGTAACTGCCCAGTTGTAATTCGCAAAACCCAGTTAACTATTGGGTTTTCTAGTTTGAGGCCTGTCAGGGAGCTTGTTTGCTTTTTAATGCTGGTGACCATGGCCTTGTCAGGAGAGGTCAGCTCTGGATCCAGTCAATGCTTCAGTATGGAAGTGGAGGGCCACTGTCCCTGGACAAGCAGTCCCAGCAAAACTTAACTGAAATGGGGGTGAAGGTGTCACTGTCTGCCTGTATTCAGATTCCAGTGATGAAATTCACACACGCATGTGCCCTTGTCTCTTTGGGGTAAATTATAAACCCTTATTGGGGCAGTTCTGCTTTCTGGAAGAAGAAAGCAGGACTTAATGTTATGAGCATAGACTAAATTTCAAGCCATCTATCAATCAGAAAACTTACTGACAGTGATAATAGGGCCGTCAGGAGACTTATTTTATTTTAAGATGAAGAGAGACTAAGCCATCTAGGTTTCAGAGCCTTTGAGTTGGGAAAAATGGGTTCAAGTAAGAAGAGTTATGGGAATGCCCTTAGGATAATGATTAATTTACTTATTTTGAAGAGCTCACAAGCCATTATACAATCTCCCTCCCTCCCTTTCTTCTCTCTTTCTTCCCTTCCTTCCTTTATCCCTTCATTCATTTATTTCTTCCTTCTTTCCTTCAACATTTAATTAGTATAGCTCAAGCCTACATATAGAAAAAAAATCTCCACTAGCTCTCAGTTGGGGCTGGGGGTGGGGTGGGGTATGCAAGTTGGAGAAGGGGCTGAGTTGATCTGGGGGAGGACACAAAAATTATGATAACAAACTCTTACAGGATTTATATCAAAATATTTGTTGGTAGGGGGAGAATGATTTTCCTGGTGTAACTGGGAAATATTCAATGGAGGAAGTGACTTTCAGTTGTGTCTTCAAATTAGAGTCAAAGAAAATTAGGTGAAACTGGAGAAGAGCATTTCAAGTTGAAGACAGAAACTTCCCGAGGCTTACAGAGGGCTGAGAAGCTAGCGGGCACTTATGGGGGATTGGCAATCTTTCAATGTGCCTGGAGATGGGGCAGTGCCCTGAGATGGGGCAGCAGAAGTGAGATGGGACCCATCAGGTAGGGCCCCACTGCGTCCTGACTCTGAGGAGTACTTTTTAAAATCTTTATTGTTGAAAGTATTATATATATATATTCTCTTTTTTCTGCTATTGAACCCTTACATCCTGTCCCCTCTCCCCCCAAGGCCTCCACCACCTATTATCTGTGTCCATGGGTAACATTGGTATGTTCTCACATGGTTTTTTAAAATCTTTATTGTTGAGAGTATTATATATATATATTCCCTTTTTTCTGCCATTGAACCCTTACATCCTGTCCCCTCTCCCCCAAGGCCTCCACCACCTATTGTCTGTGTCCATGGGTAACATTGGTATGTTCTCACATGGATGTGACGGCCAGGCTTCACTAGTTCAGGGCAGACAGAGGTGCAGTTTTGAGGCATGTGATTATTTCCATGTAGAAATGAAACAAATTGAATGGAAGTTCTGCAGATCCTGATGAAAGCAAATTATAGACGGTCCCACATTTAATTCATCTTCCTGTATAGAAGTCTGAGAGAGAGAGTATGATCACCGGTATTACTTCTGTAACAAAATAATTGTTTTCGATTTAATATGGCTCGCTGCAAGATTACACTACATAATATGTGTCTCTGAGGCATTTTAAATAGGCCTTTATTTTATTTACACATATAGTTTCGGGCACATACCATAGTGATACATCTGTATTTGTCCCTAACATTGGTCCAACAGTAAAGAGAATGGTTATTCTTTTGCTATACTGCATTCACATTGGTTGGGTCATGTGTTTTGTTTTGTTTTCATAGTTCATAGGGTAGCAGTAGGTAGTTCTGCAAATTTCAAATGAGAGAATTAATTAGATCACTTTGCTATGCAATCACTGTTCAAGTCAGGCAGCTAAAACCACCTGCCTGGCATTGCCTGATAAGTCTTGAAAGTTTAATACACTGTCAGGGAGATGGTTGCCGGAGACCACGTGCCATGCGTAGGACTTATTGAAAAGCCTGAGCTAATAACACACAGTATCTCTGCCAGAGTCAAGCCTGGACTCCACTGAAGAAAGGTTTCATTATTGTTTTTATGTGAAGTGGAAATTTTGCTGTCAGACTTTACAAGTAAACAGGGTAGATGTGCCCCAAGGATGGTAGTTTTAGAATCCTGTGGACATCAGTAGTCCGCAGGCTCAGCTGAGCTTCTCTAAGGCACGTGTGAAGTTGCTAAGGTTGATGTTCCTTTTCATGTTTCTTCACTTTTTAGGTCTGTGATGGGCTCCAACAAGGAACCAGATCTTGTGCATCTCGAGGCCAGAACTGTGGATGGTCGTAAGTAAATCAAGTTTTCCAAGGTGTTCACAGTGATACTAGTTTGATCAATCCACCACGAACCACGTCTGTGTTCAGGAAAATCGTTGGCAATAATCCAACTCATTTGGACATGAGGACTTTTCCAGCTTGTAGTAATTCAGAATTGTCTTAATCATTTTTGACAACTCTCATTCAATCAGGCTCTTTTGCTTTCCTAGTAATGTGAAAATTCAAAATTCCTTATTTCTACCATGTTTTATTGTTGTGATTGCTGATGCTTTGTTTTGATTGGTTTTTCCTGTTTCCTTATTTTATTGGATGTCGTTCGAGCAATGCCCCCCCTGTCTTGTTCGGAGACACACAAAGCATTTAGAGGGCATAGGGGAGAGAAGAATCATCCTGTGTGTCCCTATGATAAGCAGCGGGAGGGCAAAGTATGCACCTTAGGTGTTCAGAGCAGCCCTAGCTAGGCCATCCACAGTGAAGGACTCCACGTGATGTGAAGATCATGGCTTTAGGTACATGACCGAGAGGAAAGTAAGGTGCAAATCTAGAATTTAAACCCTTGTCTGAAAAAATCAAGTCCGCTCACTAATTGTGTGACCTTGAAAAATCTACTTAGACTCTTTACGCCTCGGCTTCTTCACTGTAAATTAAATAAGTTAACAAAAATGTGTCCTATAGTAGCTAACATTTACAGAGCACTTACCCTGGACCAAGAATTATGTTAAACACTTTATCTCCTTTAGCACAAGGAATCCTCACAATTTGTGGGTTGTTGTTCCTGTTTTGCAGATGAGGAAATCAAGTCATAGAAAGTTTAACAAACATATTTAAACAACAGCAGTATACCATTTCTTCTTCTTCTCTGGTCCTGAGTTTCTCCTGAAGGTCTGAGAGTTGACGGGGTACCACTAGGTCTAAGATTGGGCACTAAAGGTGAAAAGGACGAAGGGAAAAGGGACATGCATAGAAGAAAGGGATGAGGAAGGAAAAGACAGGGGGAGAAAGAGGCCCCAATGTAGAGGAGATAAAGAGAATGGACTGTCCACAGTTACCACTGAGCAATGAGGCTGTTAGAGGTTGTCCGACACGGAGCAAGAGAATGGTAATTCAGTTATGGAGACATTTCCTATCTCAAAAGTATCCCTCACAATTCAAAAGCATCACTGTCACTGGCGCCTGCGCCTGTCTACTTGTCCTCAGCTCTTTGAACACAAAGACAGCAGCGATGCCTGCACTTTACCAGCTGACAATTTAAAAGTCATCCCTGCAGCCCAGACTCTTCAGAAATCACATGTGCTCTGCACCTCTGCACACACCATGAGATTCTGCATCTCTAGAGATTTTGCTTCCCTTTCAGAGAATGAATATATTCTTTGGCAGAATCAATGGGAGGATAGGTCAGGGACCAGCACCTTCCTCCTTTTTAAATTTAGGCAGGGTAGTGGTATACCATGGCATCTGCCCCACCCTGTGCCTGGCACAGAATGAGTGGAGACACCTCCATTGCCCTGCAGCTGATTATTTTATCTTGGATCCCAAGGTTCATTTCTTACTACCCAATAGCCAGAGCAGCCTTTTCCTAAGGTAAAAGCAATCCTGTCATTTGTTTCAAGCTTTGATTGACTTCCCACTGCTCTGGCGATGAAGAGCCAAGTTCTCACCTTGACCTTTAGCTGCAGCATAAGCTGGTCCCTGCCCATTTCCTCAGCCGCATCTCACTCTAACCCTGTCCTCACTCCTTGCCTACAAACCCTTGAATTTGCTTTCAAGTCGTGGACCACCCAGGTTTCTAGGTCTTAGTTTAAGGCCCAGATGCCACTGTTTCCTCTGCCTGGAATGCCCTCCCCCCTTCCCTGATGAATTCAGTGTAATTAATTGCTATAAGTGTTTCAGATCTCAAATTAAGCATCCATTTCTATTTTTTTAACTTTTCACTTTGAAATAAATTTAGACTCACATAAAAGTTGTAAAGAGTAGTCACGTTCCCCTGGACTTTTCAACCAGCTTCCCCTAAAGATAGCATCCAGTAAACCCAGAGAACTATAACAAAATCCTGGAAAGTATCATTTCCCAGGGGAAGTCTTTCTTGAACTCCCAATCCAAACCAGTTTCTCAATTTGTTTGCTTTCATCCAACTCTAATATTTTTCTTTATTGTGCTCATCTCAGTTTTTTTTAAAAAAACATATTCTAATGATCTTTTACAGAGAGGAAGGAGAGGGATAGAGAGTTAGAAACATCGATGAGAGAGGAACATCGATCAGCTGCCTCCTGCACACTCCCTACTGGGTATGTGCCCGCAACCAAGGTACATGCCCTTGACCGGAATCGAACCTGGGACCCTTGAGTCTGCAGGCCGACGCTCTATCCACTGAGCCAAACCGGTTAGTGCTCATCTCAGTTTTTAATCGCATATTCTATTTCTGTGATGATTGGATCACAGTGTTTTCTCTCTACCAGTAAGTGCTATGGGTGCAGGGGGCATGTATCCCTTTGTTCAATACTCCGTCTCCAGCACATGCCACAGTGTCTACATGTAGATAGAGCTTAATAAATATTTATTCAATGAATGAATGCATAGTTGACCAAGTGTCAGGGTAACCAGCTGCCTACCTAACCTCACTTACAGATCCCACCTAGGGACCTTGTTAGAATGTAAATTCTGATGTAGGAGGGGCCCAACAGTCTGCATTCCTAACAAGCTCCCTGGTGAAGCTGATGATGCTGGTGGTGGAACATGCTTAGGGTCAGAAAGTCCCATAATAAAAACTAATGAAAGAGCTTCAGGGTCTGTCTCCCATGACTACACCCTTGTTTAGAAAGCTCTGGGTGGAATCCTAGATTGCTTTCCTTTCTGAACTTTTGGGGACGTGGCTGCTTTCTGGTTTGTGGCATTTAATGCCCATAACCCCATATCCTGAAAACGACAAGGCCATCACTTTCCCTGATCTGCGCTTTTTTTCCCCACCCAACATTATTCCTGTGTTCCCTGCAGGCATGGAGGTTGATAATGTCAAACTGTCATCTCAGGCTCAGCTTGCGCGAGGCATGAAATATATCAGTTCTAATTTTATTTATTTTATTTTACTTTTTTTGCAAAGGCAGCATCTTCAGAAACTATCCAAGAGTGAAAATTCAATAAAGGGATTTAATTTGAAAAGTTATCCCTGTCAAAACAAAGCAGAAAAAAAAATTACCTACCAATTGAAGAAAAGGATCTAAGCCTGACCTGACCGAATGTAAAAAATGAGATTTTTCTCGGTATCATGTCCTCCCTCCTCCTCCCTCCCCCCGCCCCTCCCTTCTTCTCTCTCTTTCTTCTTGGTATCTCTTTCTCCAACACAGTAACCCTGGCACCAAGTAAAAGAAACAGAGAGGAGGAGGAGGAGGAAGGAAAGAGCTCAGACAGCTCAGTCAGTAGCAAGGTGTTAGCAAATGTAGCTGAGAGTCATTTGCTCCAAGAATTCCAATATCTATATGTTTTCTCTTTCCCATTCCCTGATTGAAACCCCTCTTGATTCTCTATTTCTTCATTATTATTTAGTATATAATTTAAGTATATGGAAGTCATTGTTTATTTTCTAGGTTATGGGTCTTATAGGGAATGTGCAAAAATAATATAATACTTTTTAATTTGAACATTGTTGTTGTGTTTGTTTGTTTTCTCTGATTGTAATGGGTTTAGGGATTTTGTAGCCAAGGCACTGAGACATGTGACACAGGAAAAATTTGTTCACTTGCATATTTGGCTCATCCCCATGGGATGGGTTGCAAATGCTTATCTGGGTTTGTTACTCAAAGGTTAGTGTTAGTCTCATTTCACATCTCCCTAGATGACATTTTAATTACTATCTGTTTCATGGGAAGTCTCTGTATGTGAGGGAGGTGAGCTCTGGGAAGCATTGGCTTACAAGGCTCTATGACTGGCATAGACGTGTCATGCCCATTGTGCTGTGAGACCTGGATGTGTTGTAGTTTACAGTCATGTCAAGGATGTTATTCTTTCTTGTATCACCTCTGTCTTGGGAGACAAGCTGAATTACAACCTCAATTACAATCAATCACAGGAGGTATTATTGGAAACTTTTGAACATATTTCTTGAATGTGGCATTTGTTATTGGTCCCCACATTCAACTGAGAACACATTAGCAGGTCCTCATCCAGGAAACAAACATGTTAATGTTTACAAATCACACGTGTGTGTTTGTGTGTATGTGTGTGAGTGTGAATGTGTATACACCCACCCATGCATTGTATGCACACAGTACATTAAACCTGCTACCCATACATCAAAATAGTAAGAAGGAAACCTACATTCTATTGACTTACCTAATATATTGGGTATGTGTATGTAATGTACATAGTTACAGAGACAATGGGGACCAAACTGTTGGATTGAAAACTTTGTAAAAACTCCGTCTTATTTAAGTTTGCTGGTGTGGGAACCATAGCTCAGAGCCTGACACATTTAAAGTTTGTTGACTTAATAAATACATGTGTATGTCATAGTATAGGCATGATTTGGGGCTTTTAACCATAGGATATCTGGAGCCCTCTGGGGCTAATGGATGAGCATAAAAAATTCACTAACTTCCTGTAATTTTGTGCTACATATTATACATATACGTGATTTTGGAGAAAGAGGATATGACTTGCATCAGAATTCTTCACATGGCAATTTCACATGTATGCCTAATTCTATATTTTCTCTCATCTGTAAACATTATCTTGTAAAAGAACATGTAGTATCACATTTGACCTTCCTCACTTCCCGAATGAAAGGTTGAACTGGTGACTTGGAAGTCTCCATGCCAGTGGTGACCAGGGCTAGCACAGACAGGGGCCAGGACCATCACTGGCCTCGGGGTCTATTTGCATGAGTAAGTAACCTTGCAACAACCTGCCCAGGGACTAATCTCTTTCACTAGGGAAAAACAACCATGGCCCTTTAAGCAGCTGTGAAAATGACTGCTCAAAAACTCTTCCTGAAATGAACCACAAAGGAGAATTTC